ATATATATATATATCCTCTCTGATAATGCTCTCTTTCTCCTCCTACGCTAGCCTCTTGAAAATACATCCCCATCTCCTCTCTCACTCGCCTCTGCTAATTATTTCCTCTCGACTCGAATCGACTCGTAAACGATCCTACTACCTTTCCATCCTTGTTCCACTTGGAATTCTTTCTTTTCTTTCTTCTTTTTTCTTTTTTTCCTCTCCAATTCCATAGAGATGCTTTTATTTACCTTTCTTTCTCTTTCTCGTTCGATCATACTTGATTTGTTGACGGACGTCCGCTGGACTTAATGTCGATTACTCGTTGGAACAAAGCTCTCGAGCGAATTCGGCATTATCCGAATAAAGCGAGGGGAAGAAAGTTCAATACGAGATCGTTTATAAAGGTTATAAAGGATAACGAAGGATAACCAACGTCCCCTGAAAAACGATCTAATTTCCAATTCCAAGTTCCAAAAGTTCCGATCGTTGAAAGAGTTGAAATCTGACTTTTGCAAGATGAGACGAGCAAGAAACAAGCGTCACCCTAACTTAAAGCACAACGATACTGGCGCGTATCGTGCAAAAGTACAAAATATAAATAGTATAAATAGTATAAATAGTATAAATGGTAAAAAGAAAGGAAATTTAAAGTATTAAACTCGATTTCTCTCTCTCTCTCTCTTTTCCACTCTTTCCACTTCTTTCTCGCTGTCAAGGAATTTCTTCTAATTTCCAGAGGTTTCCGATCCCTACGAGGCAGCGTGATGCAACGGGAGCGGAAAAAGTTTCTGATATACTCGATTTACGCTTGGGGTTGCGCATTGCTTCTCACCGGGGTTTGCGTCGTTATGGACTTTTTCCCCGACGTTCCAGAATACCTTGTCAAGCCAGAATTTGGCAGGCAGAGTTGCTGGTTTACAAGTAAGTCCTTTGAAATATCGCGTCGCCGATAAATTGGTTGACATTTATAATACGATGAACAGCGCTGAAATAACGTTGAAACAGAATGGTAATTTCGAAATGAATGTGTGTGTCGCAGCTAATAACGCAAGGGCGATATACTTTTACGGTCCGATGGGCGTTACCGTTTTTTGCAACATATGCCTGTTCATCTCCACGGCGTTGAAGATCGTGCAACATAAAAAGAACACGGCTCAGCAGCTTAGAGGCACGGACAGTAGGCGGCACGACGACAATAAACAATGGTGGTTCACTATTCTCCTTTTTACTCTTCCCATTTTTAATTTTTAATTTTTAATTTTTATTCCGCTTGCCACCTGACACGACGAAATTCGAAAAACATTCTTACGTTTACGAAAACGCGGTAAGAATCGATCAAACGTGTTGTACTTCGATATTGTAATCGTTACGCGATTAAACATTTAGAGTTTACTCTAACCTCTATACAGAGACCCTATACCCCCCCGCCCCTGTATACAACTGCGATACAATTGTCAAGTGAATAAATCTTTCTTGTCTTTCTCGTATCGGTTTGTACTTGGCACGCTGTACACATGTAGATTCGTACACATTCGTAAATCTTTCGTTCTTATTGTACGATCTCTTACAGCGATGAAATTATTTTCGGACCCTCTCGGAACGCGTTCAACAAAGATTTTCCCATGCTTCGATTTGTTTTCGTAATGACGGAACACAGGCGGGTCCCTCGGTCCCTCTCGCGTCCACAAACACATACACACGTGTCCGTCCGTGTAACGAAGAGGGTCTCGCTCGAGATCTCGCACGTTTCATCTTTTAGGCTTGCGATCGTTTACATTTTGCGCTACGTGCTCTACACTCGCATACTCGCGTGTTTCACGCAACGTTCGCACCACTCACCACTCACACTCTTCCTGTCGCGTGGGATTTTAAATCTACACGTCGGTTTCTACGATAAAACATCGGTGTACATGTAGACTTGTTTCTATTATATCTTTAATTTTAATTTTAATTTTAACTCCTTTCACTCCTTTTTTTTTCTTTAATCCAGGTTCAATCTGTACTTGAAACTCTTCATCGTAATGGGCATCAATTGGTCGATGGAGATAGTGTCGTGGCTGTGCGACAATTCACCGGCCTACATTTGGTACCTTACGGATCTTACGAATACTTTGCAAGGTGTCATCATCTTTTTGATCTTCGTCTGGAAAGATAAAGTCAAACGACTGTTGCTGAAAAGATTTGGCTGCCGCGGGAGTAACGTTCTGTCGAGAAACTCGACTCGCCATAGTTGTCACAGTTCAGCAGTCTCGCGTTCTTGTACATTGACGACACAGTTCCAGGAGAAGATCGATCTCTGCTCGAACGATCCATCTCCTGGAACAAAATCGATCGTTGACAATTAACGATTACATTTCAACCATATTTGCGCGCAATTCGCAAGTATCTAATCTACGGCTCGCGTGATTCTCGATTTTTCGCAAAAAAAAATATCAAAATCTTTTCCCTCTCGCTCTATTTGCACGATGCAAATGATACACAGTGGATCGAATCGGATTGAAACGAAACGAAACAATGGAACCAAACAAAAACAGGCGAGATGAAACAAAATGATGCAAAGCAAAATATGTATGTAACTCGATAAAAACGAAATAGAAAACAAGATACATACACACACACACACACACACACACAAAAGAGATATATGTACACCGAAAAATGTTATTGGATCAATGCTATTCATAAATTTGCACAATATTCGAGACACGTTGGGTATTCGATACGTCGATTGACCAGCGAATGAAAATAAAGTGTTCAACGTGAATTTCACCGAGATGTATCTAGTCATCGCTAATGGGCTACTTTTCTAACGTTTAAATTTATTACCATATAATCTATAAATGTTACATTTGCACGTGAAACGTACAATTTTTATTTCATTTCACACGTTACACCGTACAACAATGGTAATCATTGCCAATGAGTGTACAAATATAAATCGAGAAAAAAAAAAAAAATTTCAAATATCGT